ACGAAGGCCTTCTGTAGCGAATCGATGCGTTTTTGTAAGAAAAATAACCATATTTAAAACGTAATAATCACTTTAATCTAGCTTGCGCTCACTGTTGTACACGGAAGCAGCTCCGGGCGGATGACGTATGAGGTCATAGTATACGTATGAAATAAATAATAAAAAAAAAAAACTAATTTTCAAAAAAATAAATAAATAAAAATTGCGCTACTTAATTTTTTTGTGGGCTCATACAATTTTTTCAATTAGGAGCACATGTACTCCTTGGGAAAAAATTTGCATAAAGCCCTGCGCATCAGAAATTTTTTTGTAGCCTTCCCCAGATTTGTGCCTCGATACAATCCTGTCTTTGAGCTCTGCAGGCAGTTCCTTTGACCTCATGGCTTGGTTTTCGCTCTGATATGCATTGTCAGCTGTGAGGCCTTTTATAGAGAGGTGTGTGCCTTTCCAAATGATGTCCAATCAATGTAATTTACCACAGGTGGATTCCAATCAAGGTGTAGAAACATCTGAGCAGTGATCAAGAGAAATGGGAGGCACCTGAGCTGAATTTCAAGTGTTGTTGCAAAGGGTCTGAATACTTATGTAAATGTGATATTTCAGTTTTTTTATTTTTAATAAATTTGCAGACATTTCTAAAATTCTGTTTTCACTTTGTCATTATGAGGTACGCAGTGTAGATTAATGAGAAAAAACAACAACAAACAATTTAAACAATTGTAGTATCAGGCTGCAACATATCAAAATTGAAAAAAGTGAAGGGGGGACCGAATACTTTATGGAATGCACTGTGTGTGTGTGTGTGTATATATATATATATATATATATATATATATAAATAATGACAATGTTTATTTTATTATGAAAATGTTTGTTCATGTTTTATTTTTAATTATGAAAATTATTTTTATTGGTTTTTATTTTAAATTATGAAAATATTTATTTTATTTTTACAGATTTTCTTGTCCTGATTGCGTACAAGAAAAATATAAATACCCACACTACTCAAGTTTGCATCACAAAAAGATTCATTCATTCATTCATTTCAGGAGTTATTCCCTCTTTTGCAAGAATAGTATTGGTGCTTGACTGTGGTTATTTGTTTATTCAGTTTATTAGAGCTTATCGTATATGAATTGTTGTTTATCAGCATATTACATTGTTAGCTTCAAAACATGCTAACACCAAACTTGTATATACAGAATGTTTATATATATGCATGTGTGCTGTGTATATTTACTATGTATATATAAATACACACATGCATGCATATATTTCAGAAAGATGTGTTGTGTTTATATATTAAATCTACTTATTTATAATATAAATTATATGGATATAAATATAGACATGTAAATACATGTAAATATTTTCAAAATATATTTTGTATGAGTGTTTTATATATATATACATAATAAATATACACAGAACACACAAATTATGCAAACAAAAACTTTTATTTTGGATGCGATTAATTGTTTGACAGCACTAATATATATATATATATATATATAAAAATTTATGATACTTTTGAATGGTATTATGGTTTCCACAAAAAATATGAAGAAGTACAATATAGTGAGAATATAGTGTTTTCTATATTCATAATAATCAGAAATGTTTCTTGCACAGTAAATCAGCATATTAGAATGATTTTTTTAAGGATTTTGTGACTGAAGACTGGAGTAATGTTGCTGACAATTCAGCTTTGATCACAGAAATAAGTTACATTTTAATATATATTCACATAAAATACAGGTATTATAAATTGAAATGTTGTTTTCACAATATTAGTGTTTTATCGTATTTTTGATCAAATAAATGCAGCCTTGGTAAGCATAAGAGTCTTCTTTTAAAAAGATAAAAAAAGATCTTATGAATCCCAAACTTTTGACTAGTTATTTAACTCTTTCCCCGCCAGCGTTTTTGAAAAAAGTTGCCAGCTACCGCCAGTGTTTTTGCAGATTTTGATTAAAATTTCATGACCCCCAGAATATTTTGTTGTATGAATATCTGAACATGCATTACATCAGGACCCATCAGACCCTCTACTTTAAAAAAAATATATATATATTTTAGCTTCAAGCATTGTTTTTTTTTTATCAACACTTGAATGTAGGTAGGTTTGTTTCATAAAAGCAACATTTTGAGCTAAAAGCTGAGAAAATCACATTTTTATCAAATACTACATGTGGATAATATTCAGTAATGTTATCAAAGCAAAGATGCAGTAGATGGCTTCCATCTGCATTAGAGGTCTTCTCGGGTCCTAAAATCTTTACCCGACCCGAATCACTTCTTACCCGAACCCGATGTGCAAAAATAAATTTGTTTTAAAGGGATCATATGATGCTGCTAAAAAGAACATTATTTTGTGTATTTGGTGTAATGAAATGTTTATGCGGTTTAAAGTTCAAAAAACACATTATTTTCCACATACTGCCCGACTCGACGGCATTTAATTTCGAACCCGACTGTACCCGAACGTAAACGGCATTGACGTGTGCACAGCCTGCAGCCCCGCAAGTCAGGAAAAATCCCGGTGTCCTGCTGACTGATTTGGCCGCTTCTCCATTACTTTGATTTATTTAACATTTATAACATTTATTATTAGGCTACTTTATATTAGTGCCTGCCTGATGGATACAAGCTATTTCTGAGCTCGGCTTTCAATTGTGACTAGTGGATTTGAAAAATAAACGTGATAGTTCGATAAAAAATAAATTGATAGCCTAATAATTCATGGATTCGCTAGTGTTGTCTGCAATCTGATCTCCGGCGAAAGGCTTCTGCACACAAAAAAGAAAAGCCCTGCATGAACACGCAGCATAATGAAGCGAGTGGATTTTCCTGATGGATCTCATATCTATAAGATGATTTCTGTGTGCGAGGTTACAAACGTATGCTCCTTTTCTATGTGCGTTCCTCACTTAACGTGAAAGTGAAAGTAACCTATGCATTCGGGCTAGTTTTTGAAGAATTCGGGTCTAATCGGGTCCATCTGGAAAAAGCATGTTTATTTTAAATTACCCGAGACCCGAGGCCACTAATACTGAACCCGTGTCCGAGGTACTCGTCTAAGTTTTGGACCTCGGGTTTTTGAATCCAAGTGGACCCGTGAAGACCTCTAATCTGCATCCTACAGTTTGCACAGTCCTTTACCACTTCCTGAATTGACATTTCACTCTGTAATATTAGGCAGTTTTTATTTATATGCGGTTGTGATGATTGTATTATTTTTCATATGCATATGCTTACATATGAGATCGCTCGTTTCTGCATCTTCCTGGTCTGTTTTTGATCAGCACATTCAAGACTAATTTAGGAGATGTGTAACAGCGCCCCCTAGCGTATAACAGAGAGAATGCGGAAACCCGGAAAATTCTGTTTGGTGGGGAAAGAGTTAAATTAACCATTCAATTTGACAGTTATGCAATGATGAAAGGGCCTCATTTATAAAATGCTGTGTAGAAACCATCCTAAATTTGATCTTACGATCATCTCTCAACTATGCATGCGTGTGATTCATAGAATGAGCGTACGCACAGAAAACGCATGTACACCTCTGTTTTAGATGTGAGATCACCAGTCATCATCCAAATCCTTTAATTTAGAACAGCAAGCTGCTACAATGAAATACAGCTTACATTTCCAAAAACCTGCAGAACGCTAAGCACTTTTCCACATCAAAGACAATTTTGTACAATTATGAGTGCTGGCGTAGATTTAAGCATACGTACACTCTACAATAATAAAATCTGTGCGTACGCACACTTTATAAATGAGGCCCATAATCTTGGATATTTGATAAACTCTACATAATTTAAATAAACTGTATCATTCTGAACTGAATTAGAAATGGATCAGCAGACAGCTTAAAATATTGTCCAAACATCCGGCGTTACAGCAATTTCACACCGACCGGAGGCAAATTCAAAATTAACAAGTAATATTATTTTTTTAATAAATTTTTTACATTTAATGACACAATGCTTTTCAATGCCCCGCGGAAACCGTATTATAGGTGTATAATATACATGATTTACTTGTTGACATTTTAAATCTCCAGTCCATATTCCACTGTTCCACCTTTTTAATGGTTGCCTGCATGCAAGAAATTACTTGCAAAAAGTTTTGAACCCTCTTCCATATGGCGCCATTATCTACATATAATGCACATCCTATACCAGGGCCTACATTGTCAAATATATCATTAATCATAAAATTAAAGGGACTAATTACACTTCCCTGTGGTATACCGTTTTCTGCATTAAATGCAGATGACTGACTTGATCCTACCTGCACTATAACCAATTATACATTTTACCCGTTTCTCTCATTCTAGAAGATTTTTTAACAATCCTTCTCTCCATGCCATACCATATGCTTTGGCTGAAACAAGAAAATGTTTTTCTTAATAAATTTGCAGTCTCATTTCTTGTATGAATCTAGCTGACATTATACCTGGGAATAAGACAAGTGCCCCCTAGAGGTGAATAGTAAAAATAGCTAATAAAAAAAATCAAGGTAACAGTTAACACTGTTACAATATCCACATCGCCATGATGCTTTCATAAATGCTGTTTTGTCACCACATTTATTTTGTTAATGAAAGGAAAACGTGCAGCACATATTTACATATTAATCAAGTTTATATGTCGCATTAAGATGCTTTCGTTGTTCCAATCGTAAGTACACCTCTAAATTCAACCACTTCCACTCATTTGACTGGATTTCTGTCGTAGTGTAAACATGCATGTCGTAAAATTGATTGAAATAGCCACAAAAGACCGCCTTCTCTCCACCTACTGATCTATAGCATCTTTCCAGGTGGGATATAAACTCTGGCAGCTTATGTTGTAAGTTTGGTTTAAAGATGCAAAATGTACCAAGCACAATGTTCTCTGCCAATCCCCACTTCTAACATGCATCCACAGCATTTGGTGTGGTTTTGCCGCTATCAGAGCAGAAACGAAAGCTGCTGCTCTCCTTATCTTTTCCCATTGTCTCATTTCACGTTTACATGTAAATTGTGTGAATGTGTTTTATCCAATTGATCAAAATATCTGAAAAACCCATGCATTTACCCACGCAATGACTCCCCACACTTGAAAAAATAGACAGTTAATTTGAGATCCGATCAACCAAAACACATTTTAAATCCAGGTGTAAACAAGGGCCAAATCTGCCGCTATATCGGGGGGCGCTTCTGTGAACCTCAAGATTGCCTTGTTTCTGCAAGTCTTTCCACAGTGATGGCACATGAAAGTCGTTTGTCTGGTGTTATTACATGATACCCAATATGTTTCTTGTATGTGAAACTTTCCACAATTCCACACTGATGACATAAAAAGAGCTCCCTTATAAGTGAAAACTCATGTGGGCCTTTAGGGCTGCTTTATGTCCGAAACTCTTTCCACAGTGACCACATGTAAATGGCTTCTCTCCAGTGTGAACTCTCATGTGCCTGTTAAGGGTATCTTTCCGGTTGAAATTTCTTCCACACTGTTGGCAGGTGAAAGGCTTCTCTCCAGTGTGAGTTCTCATGTGGTCTTCAAAGTGTTGTTTATAATTGAAACTCTTTCCGCACTGAGGGCATGCGTAGGGTTGCTCTCCAGAGTGAATTCTCATGTGGCCTTCAAAGTGTCGTTTTTGACGGAAACTCTTTCCACACTCGGAGCACGTGTAGGGTTTCCCTCCATGAATTTTCATGTGGACTTTAAGGTTTTCATGTTGATCAAAACACTTTCCACACTGTTGGCAGGTGTAAGACTGCTCTCCATTGTGAACTCTCATGTGTCTGTTAAAGCTTTCTTTTTGAGTGAAACTCATTCCACACTGTTTGCAGGTGAAAAGGCTCTCTCCAGTGTGAACGGTCATGTGGGAAAGAAGGTTTCCTTTCCGGTTGAAACTTTTTCCACACTGTTGGCATTTGTAAGGCTTCTCTCCAGTGTGAACACTCATGTGGACTCCAAGGTTTCCAAGTTGAGTGAAACTCCTTCCACACTGTTGGCATGTGTACGGCTTCTCTCCATTGTGAATTCTAACGTGTCTTTTAAGAGTTACTTCTCGATTGAAATGCTTTCCACACTGCTGGCAGACATAAGGCTTTTCTCCTGTGTGAATTCTCATGTGTCTTTTAACACCTTGTTTTTGTCTAAAACACTTTCCACACTGTTGGCAAGTAAAATAACTACTACTTCCTGTCTTTTCAGTCTGTGAACTAAAAGATTTTTCTCCAGTTATAAAATCACATTGATTCTTATATTGATCTTCCTCTTCCATTTCATTGAGTTCTTGACTCTCCTCTTTCAACACCATCGGGTCTAAGGCGAAAAACAGACAAATAAAAATTAACCCCAATTGAATGGCACAAAGCAACAGATGTCAAAATATTCAGACATGTAAAGTGTCAAAACCAACATAAAACTAGATCCTATACCCACTAAGCAACTAAAAAGAGGCGTTACATGTAATCTGAGAATCACTTCCCAATGTTGCTAATTCTTTCTCACTTTAAGGCATGTCTCAAAAACTATAAAGCTGGCAATTAAACCTTCTGTTTAAAGAATTAGTTCACTTCCAGAATAAACATTTCCTGATAATTTACTTGGCCCAATGCCATCCAAGATGTTCACGTCTTTCTTCAGTCGCAAAGAAATTAAGATTTTTGAGGAAAACATTCCAATAATTTTCTCCATATAAATGGACCTCAATGACGGCCAACGGGTTAAAGGTCCAAATTTCAGTATCAAATGCTCGTCCTACACTAGCTCTGCGTTGCGCATGTACGTCTTCACGCATTCATCTCTGTACTTCGGTTCAAAAAGATAGGGTAGGCTGGAAAAACTCCATCTCATTTTCTCCTCCAACTTCAAAATCGCCCGTCATTGTTGTTTTACCCTTTTTGTATGGGACATTTGACTTTGCACATTTGCTTTGTAAACATTGGGTCGGTACTTTCGTCTATGTCACGCATATGTGATTAAGTAATACATGAGGTTGAGCTAGTGCAAGACAAGCATTTGTGGTTAAGAAGTATACAAATTTATTTTAGAAAATGACCAATCTTTCGCTAGATAAGACCCTTATTCCTTGGCTGGGATCGTGTAGAGCCCTTTGAAGCTGCACTGAAACTACAATTTGGACCTTCAACCCTTTGGGTCAAATTGAAGTCCACTAGATGGAGAAAAATCTTGGAATGTTTTCCTCAAAAACCTTAAAGGGGTCATGTGATGTTGCTAAAAAGAACATTATTTTGTGTATTTGGTGTAATGAAATGTGCTTATGTGGTTTAAGGTTCAAAAAACACATTATTTTCCACATACTGTACATTATTGTTTCTCCTCTATGCCCCGCCTTTCTGAAACGCGTCGATTTTTACAAAGCTCATCGGTCTGAAAAGCGAGGTGTGCTGTGATTGGCCA